AGAAATGCCCCCACCTGAGGGCAGCCAATGAGAATGGTGGCAGGCAACCACTCCCTTAGAAGTAATTTCTAGAAGTTCCTAGAAGCGAGCCAATCAGAATTGTACCTGCACTAGCACCCCTAAATGATGTAACCTTGTGATTTTTCCCTTTAAAAGCTGAGCTTGCAGACAGGTGGGCACTTCCTCCAGCCTCCACTGCGCTGGATGTATTGGACGAAGTCCCTGCCTAGGCTTGTATTGCTTTTGGATATCCAGAATTAAACCTTGCTTTTGCATTCTGGTATGCTCGTCTTTGGTGGTCTCTCTGGGGGTCACGATCTGGGCACAACAAAAACAAACCTTTTCTCAAAAAGATGCTTTCTGATAGAAAAGAACTTTACTCCTGGATAGTTCTCCTTTCTGCCCTGGCTGGGCTGTTTCCCCAGGATGGGGCTCCTGACTCGGCAGTCCAACTGCAGATGCAGTTTGGCTTTACTGTTTTCCCAGAAAGATCCTTTCTCTAATTGGAAAGCTTTTCTCAGATTTCTTTTTGCAGCTGTGAACACTGCATAGTCCCACCTAACAACCCAGGACTTACAGGAAAGGGATAACTGTGCCATTCCCACCGGCTTTAGCTTTGTTTGTTCATTATCAATCTTCCCCTAGGTCCTGCACCTTCTTGCCTCAGCTCTGTGCACCAGGAAGTTATTTACAACTGCAGGAACTCTAGTATCCCCAAAATGCACTCCAACTCGGAGATGCTGGCTAGTTGCTTCTCTGTTGTTGGTTAGAAGCTAGGATACAATGCTTAACAGAGTTTGCATTGCTTCAGGGGATCTTTGGGTAAGCATGATTAGGAGCACCTTTTCATTCTGAAATGCTCAAACAAAACCCTTGATGCCTCAGCTCAGCTATAACTGGGAAGCTTGGCTTTTTTGCTTCTCTCAGGTAAACAATTCCTGCCCTATTGGGCTCTTTATGGCTCTTCACTCACACTCTCCCAAGCGTTTCCCTCAGGGGACTTTGACCCACTGTCTTTTAGTAGCTTAAAGAGACAGAGTTTAGAAGAGAGGTTTTTAGAACTCCACCCCTGCCTCCTGCATTGCAGGAAGGATTTTTCTGGCTTGAAAGACAGAACTTAGAGAGGTTTTGCTGTCCTAAGAAGTTTGTTGTTTTTCCCTTTGAGCTAATCTCAGGTGATTCCCATACTAATATCGTCAAGTGATTCTAATTTTTGTCCTGAGAGAGAATGTTAAAGGCTTTAGTTTTCTAAGTTTAAAGAGCTTTTTGTTTGAGAAAGAAAAATTAAGGCTTCTTAGAGAGATTTTTTCCCCAAATTTTCCAAGAAAATCTTTTCAGTTTAAGAGAAAGATTTTTTTTCCCCAAGAGAGAGAAAGACCAACTTTTCCCAAAACTTCTGAACTTTAAACTTTTTGGCTTCTTACACCCCCATTTTTGCCTCAGGGAGAAAACACTTTCTCCTGCTGCTTGGATTTAGCATTTCAGCTATCCCTAAGCCAAAAGCTTCCATAGGAAACTTTTTTCTACCCAATAAGGTCAAAGTAGAGCTTTTTTACTACCCATAAAGCTCAAAGAAAGATTTTTTTCCCAGTTTGCATTCATAGCCCCCAAAGTTAGAAAACTGAAGTTTTTCTATCTAGTTGCCTTACTTATCTTGAATTTTCCTACACTATCTTACACTTCTTAAGTTCTTATGACTTAAAATACAGCATCTGACCCCAAGCAGCTTTCTCTTTTTTTTAAATTTTCTTTAGTTTTATAATTTGATTTAATTTTACTTAACAGCCACGGATTCCACTGTCCTCCCTCCTCCCACCCGCCCTCCCCCAGCCCTCCCCCATTCCACCCCTCATTCCCATCTCCTCCAGGGCAATAACTCCCCTGGGGATTCAGCTCAACCTGGTGTATTCAGTCCAGGCAGGTCCTGTCCCCTCCTCCCAGGCTGAGCAAAGTGTCCCTGAATAGGCCCCAGGTTCCAAACAGCCAACTCATGCATTAAGGACAGGTCCATGCCCCACAGCCTGGTGATACAACAGCTGCTAGCCATGGCCTTTATTCCATTCCTGCCATCCTTCCCCAAGAGTAGGTCTCTGGCTGACAAGCCCCCAACCCTGGGACCTTTTCCAAAGCTTAAGTCAGAATGTATCACCTTCTTACTCAATGTACTCAGTTGATGCCTTTTTGTTATAGCTAGTAAAAAGCCCTCACATTTCCCACAATCCCTGCCAGCCTTTCCAAACTCAGAGGATACCAACCACGCCATCATTTTCTGTGCTTCAGCAAGAAGGGATCCTCTCAGCTCCTCAAACAGACCAATCGTATTTCTGCATATTACCCTATATATGTTCCTTGTTTCCTCCATCAGGCTGTGATCATGGCCATCTGGGATTTGGCACTGTGTGGTCATCATCAAAGTTTTCCCAAACAGTATGTGAATTCCATTCTACTTTATGTGCTGATATTTACCTCGGACAAGATCCAGTAGGGTCCCTTCAGTATCATAAATGTTTAATCCTTCATGCATGGTGACCTTTATTATCCATTCTTCTACAGCTGCAATGTCTAAAAACAAGAGATAAACAACTTTTTACATGTCATGCTGATGAAATGGAAGAATGTTAACACTACCAACAACACCTTTTCCTTTTACAGTCATTTTTCACTACATCTATGTGTCACATTTCACATCTTTTTCTGAAAACTTATTTTCTGGTGAAATAATTGAAAAGAATTATGAAATGATTTTACTGCCACAGCAATGTATCTTAATGCTAATAAATTTAGATCCTAATTTCTCTCCTAATCCTATTCTCTAATTATAGAGGTTCAGCTGTGTATTAAAGCTATACTTTGACCAAGCATCTGTCAAATGGAAAGTCATTTATCACTGAATATTTGGTGTTAATACAGCCTTAATATTCAGCTGTACCTTGCTATGAATTTCTTGTGGGTTCATATATTACTAGAACATTTGGCAAACAGTTCAGCTTCTCAAACCTGTTCAACCTCTAGGTAACTAACTCCCCTGCTGAGCCTATGAGACAAGCAGGCTGTATATGCATAGCTTTGCTTCTTGTGCAAATGAAGCTCAGACCATCCCTTGCCTTCAGGCCTATTGGCTTTCCAGAGAAATTGACTGAGAACAAAGGAGGTTTTTGCATAATCAGGTTCAGGAAAGACTGGAGCAGAATTCCAGAGGCAGACACAGAACTGCATGGCCAGAGAGAAGAGAGAAAGACAGAGATTCTGTAGAGGGTAAAACAGATCTCTTGTAGAGTTTATCAGAGCCAGGGGTAAGGAGTCATGAAGGATAGATGGAGGACTAAGGAACAAAGGACAAAGATCAGACCAAAAGCATAAGGGCTTAGTTATTACCAGAGCTATGAGGGGACAGAAAAAGTAGGTACAAAGAAGAACTGAGACTCAGGACAGAACTGAAGCTGTATAGATAGAGTTTTGTCATAAAGGAATACAGTTAACAGACAAAAGAGCATAGTGTACATAGATTCCTTTCCCTCAGATACTCCACTCTGAATGCAGTATCTTCCTCATGACTCTGGGAGGAATTTTCTCAGGGCTGGAACTGGGGAAAATTCCATTACTCTCTGACCACTACAGAGAGGAAAAAGAAAACCATATCCCTTTTGTGAACACAGTATATTATTTTAAAGTACCTGTCAAAGGAAAGTACAGGACCTGAGGGTGGCAATACTGAATTTGAGCAAATGTGTAAGGAAGAATTAACAGCATTTCTTATCAAACTAGTGCCCATAAATGAAATAGAAGGAATACTTTTAAACACATTCTGCAAGGTCAGTATCACCCTGATACCAAACCAGATAAGGGCAGACCATAAAGAGAAAATGCCAAGTCAACATTCCTGATGAATCTTAAGGTAACATATCCTCAAACAAATACCAGGAGCTGAAGAGATTGCTCAGTGGTTAAAAGCACTGGCTGCTCTTCTAGAGGATCCAGGTTCAGCTGGCAGCAACCACAGGGCCACCACAGGCACCTCTACCTCCAGTTCCAGGGCTTCAAACACTCACTTTTGGCCTCTGTGAACTCTGTACTCACATGGTGCACGTGCATATGTGTAGACAAGACACTCAGATAAAATAATAATAAGTAAATCTTTGAAAATACTAGAAAACATAAATCATTAGCACAGTAAAATGATCATTCACCATGGGATTCATCCCAAAGATTCAATGATAGTTCAATAACAAGAAAGCAAATAGATTTTAAGATGGGCAGTTCTCAGAAGACATGCAAATGACCAGCTGGTATATTAAACATTACTAATCACCATGGAAATGTGATTCAAACCATGACATGATATTATTTTATGCATGATAGAATATCCATAACCAAAAAGACAAAATATAATAAGTATTGGTAAAGATGTTGGGAACTAGCAACCCTTTAACACTGTTATAGTCATGTAAATTAATGCAGCCATCAGGATAAACAGTGTGGAGACTTCTCAAAATATTAAAAATAATCCAGCAATCCTGGGTATGTAGCCAAAGGCAGTGAGATCAATGTGTCAAGGAGATGCCTGTCTGCTGCCATCTTTTTTTTTTTTTTTTGTAGTACTGTTTACCATAATCAGAACAGTCACCCAAAATGTCCATTTTCATTGGCATGAATACTGAAAATGTAGTATATTGCTGGGTGTTTACCCACCAACCCCACAGCTCCCCCAGAGTTTTCTTGAATGCAAACAGCAGGAAATATTAGATAGAAGGATTTAGAATGTGGAGATAAACAGATAGAAAATATAGGATAGCCTCGAGAGGGCCTGGAACCTATTCCAATAGGCCCTGACTATCTCTTCCCTAAGTATTTATAGAAATGCCAAGGGGGTGAAGCAAAAGACCTCCTCCCAGCACAGCCTAGTGCAGACCATCTCAGACACCTGCACTCAGGCCCATGGTCCAATCATCCTCTCTATGCAGACCTGCTTGGTAAAGCCACAAGGAACCTGAAAACGGCTCCCACGGTATACCCACACTCATATGAATACTATGAAATCTTGTTATTTGAGACAACATGGATGAATCTAGAGAACAGTATATTAGATGAAATAACCTATGCATAGAATGACAAATACTAGCATTGTCTACTTTACATGTAAATATAAAGAAGTTGCTTTTATAGGATAGAACTGAATGGTGGTTCCCAGAGTCTTGGGTATTTAGGTTCTAGGGAGAGATGGGAGGATGTTTGTCATGGGCACATAATTATACTTAAATAGGAGGATGGAAAGGGCCAGAATATGAAGACAAACAGAGACAGAAATAAATGAGATATTGTTGTTGTTAGGTATTTGGGAAGGATGATAGGTAGTGAGGAGAAAAGACTTGGTGATGACTACAGATGGCCATAGAGTTTCTGCCCTTAGTGATGAAATGAACTAAAATTGAACTGAAGAATTATTGTACAATTATGCAGTAAGGCTGTTTTAAAAATAAAATACTGCCGGGTGTGTTTGGCACATGCCTTTAATCCCAGCACTCTGGAGGCAGAGGCAGGAAGATCTTTGGGTCCTCAAAGCCAAATTCCAGGACAGTCAGAGCTACATAGTTAGATCCAGTTTCAAAATTAAATATTAAGGGCTAATGTTTCACTAAGTATAAAATCCCTGAAATATATTTTAGCCTCTGTGTGTTTATTTAGGATCACTTTGCTGTGGGACACAGGAAAACTTCTGGCTGCACACAGAGTGCCCAGCTACATGTCTAACACAACTCCTACACCTAAGGCTCAGAGAACATTTGTGGAACCACTGGTGTGGTGGTGGAAAGATTGTGAGAGCTAGAGTGGACCAGGATGTTACTTGCAAGATTGCATCTTCTATATGACAGGAAAGATGCACTCATGAAATCTCAAATATATAATTGCCAAAACAAATCTGAATAATAAATAACAGCACCAGTCCACATGACAACTTTTGAAGGGAGAATTATGTTCCATCCCTAGATGAATGGCTTATAGGCAATTATGATGGCTAAGGCAGGGAGATGTTGAAATTTTAAAAAAATGAAATAAAAAAAATAAATACTTTTATTTTCTATAGGCACAATTAATTCAGTATTTATTTTGCATATGTCATAAGAGTCCCACCATTTTTCACATATGGGAGTATATCCCATGACTGAAAAGGTATTAATTTGGTCCACTAGCTCAATATTCCCAACTCCTGGAATTTGATATTCCTCCTCTTCTCCCTCTGGGTATTTACAGCAGTATGTGATGTTGTTCCTCCACATACCACTTATGAGTAGATTCCATAACAAAATAATACATCACATATTACATCCTGTAACATTTTCAGATTAATTCCACTTCAATAAAATATATCAAGGCCCAATTTTCTCAATATTACAATTTCAAACTTCTAGAAAATGAGTTTGTTTTAAATAAAGCATGGTATAAAAATATATTGCTATGTAATATAAACATATTATCCCACACAACTTGTAAGACTGCCAGATAAAATACCCAGTTAAATTTGAATTTCAGATAAACCACAAATAATAATTAGTACGTCCCACACAACTATATGGGGGCATTTATATGATGTTGTATGGAACATTCCTCCAAATTATAATGTTCTCTCCAAATTGAAACATTTCCTCAAGGGGGCAAGCCTTGGCTCACCAGTTTCAGTAGGTAAACCAAAGGGTACAAATCCAGAACAGAATTGTGGAAGATTCTTGCATGCCTCCACCCAATTATGTAAGGGGGAGTAACAGCTGCAGAGGGTAGAGACTGACTAGACATCCCAGGAAAGAGAGATGTCCAACTGTGGAGCTGCAGCAGGCTTGTAGAAATCTACAGGGCTGCAGGTTTGGGGAGTCACAACCCAAGTTAGGGTGAGCTTTCTGGTGCTGCAGCCACACTTGAGTTATCCCTGTTCCTCATGAGGAACCCCTCACAACTTGCTTAGGAAACCCCTGAAAAAACTCAGTGGTTCCCCAAAATGGACCAAAATGTTACTTCGGTCTGCTGCTGGCTCCCTTTCTGGGGTGAGTACACATGTGTTTTGCATCTCCCCAGGAAATACCTGTCACATGACACATGAGATAAGATGTGATTTATTACATTAACTCAATGCTTTTATTTGCTAAATTTGGCAAATACAGACCCATGAGTACAAGAATTACTTCAGATCCCTCTTACCTGTGTTTACTGTGATGCTTTCTCTAGGAATATCAATGAACCAAAGAGCCCGATTGTTGAACTTGAAGAAAGAAGAAATCAGCATACATTATTTTACAACATTAATAACAACACTTATTTTGGTATATCCTGCCCAATAATTTAAAAATAAAATTAGTCAAAAATATCCAAATATATATACATATGGTCCACTTATAGATAAAAGGTTTTCAATAGCAAATTTCACTGTTAGGGATGTTTCCCATGTTACAGTCACATATGAGTAAAATCACACACACACACACACACACACACACACACACACACACACATATTCAAGGATATTTTGCATCATTGTTTGTAGATTTATGCCCACATGTTGGAACAGCCCAGCAAGCACAAAGTTAATGCATTACTGACTAGATAAGTCACAGTCAAGTCATGGGGCTGGCAGAGCATTTGGAAATTTAAGAGGGAAATCCCAGGAACAAAAGAGCAATAAATATGGGGAGCTCTGAAATTTACATAGAAAACATGTCTAAATACTCCTGCTACACCAATGTAGAGAACACTCCCAGAACAGCTCTAAAAAGAAAAAGCAGTGGAAGCTAAAAACTAGCAGGATAATCAAAACTACAGGTAAAATAGTTTGCAGGTTTTTTTTTCTTTTCTTTTTTTTTAACCAAGGAAATTATCTGTTTTTCAGACTAGCAGTTAAAAATAAAATTTCTTAGAAGAACCAGAATCCAGAGTTGCCACAAGATATTACCTACAGTGTCCAGTTTTCAAACAAAACAATGACAATAGGCAAATGTAACTGATATTATAGGGGCAAATGTAGACAGTCAGTTGACTCAGTTTGGCTAACAGGTAATGGATTAAATACTATTTTTACAAATCTGTGCATAGACTGAAGGAAACTGTCCCAGTAAATTAATGCATAGATAATTCCAAACAGAGTAGAAAAGACATAACGAAAATAGATGAGAGAGAGGAGGGATTATATGAGCAAGAGATATCAAGACTATGATTGGAAAAAGTATGTACAGAAAGTACAACTAGCCAAACTAGTGGAAACACATGAACTGTGAACCAATAGCTGAGGAGGCCCCATAGCACTGGACTAGGCCCTCTGGATAAGTGAGACAGTTATTTAGCTTGAACTGTTTAGGGGGCCCCCAGGTAGTGAGAATGGAAACTGTCCTTAGTGCATGAGCCGGCTTTTTGGAACCCAGTGCTTATGCTGAGACACTTTGCTCAACCTTGGTGCTAGGAGGAGGGGATTGGACCTGCCTCAACTGAATGTACCAGGCTCTGCTGACTCCCAAGGGGAGACCTTGCCTTGGAGGAGATGGGAGTAGGGGGTAGGTTGGGGAGGGAAGGCTGGATTTGGGAGGAGGGAGGACAGGGGAATCTGTGGTTGATATGTAAAACGAATAGAAAATCTCTTAATAAAATGGAAAAAAAAAGGAAAAGAAATGGAAAAAATAAGGCTGTAAGTAGAACAACTGAAGTACAATAAACACTAAGTAGCCTCAATAGAAGATTGAATAAACTAGACAAGGAAAAAGGGAATTCAGGGATATACAATTGACTCAATCATAAAAGAGAAGGAAGCAGTAGCATGGCTGGAGATAGTAATAATATATATTATGTATCTCAAAAAGTTAAAAAAAAATAGGACTTTAATATATTTACCATAAGACATGAGATGCTATCTCAAATAAAAGAAACAACAATCCAAAACAAAAACAAGAACAAACATGATACCTATTTGAGAAGAAAGTAATTTAATCTAATGCAAATACTGTGCAATATGTACATTTATTGAAATACCATCTGATACCCCACTTACACATACAGATTTTATATTTTCATGTATCTGTCAAATTTAGAAAAAAAAAAAACGAAAGTGACTAAAGAAACTTAATAGTTTTAGAGACTTGTAGGACAATATCTTGCTTTCTAAGACTTCTAAAATTAAGAGTCCCAAGAAGAAGACAAAACAAAAGAGCAAAAAACAATGCAGAAATAATTACTGAAGACTTTCAAAATTTGGCAGACACAAAATATGCAACTCAGATACCCAGTCAGGAGAGTACAAAGAGAAAAATGTAAACATGTGCAGAGAAGAATAACACAGTACATACAGAGAGAATGACTGCAATTTAAAGCTAACTTCTTATCTAGAAACAATAATGCCATGTGACTTTAGAATGTTCCAAATTCTGGAAGAAAATTAAGCCACTGAAAAATGGTACATTTGGAAAAATTATCTTTTGAAATTTAGGTGACTAATAAATATGTTAGAACTCACAATATGTTTAGCAAAATTAAAAAACGAAAGAAAATTATATGTTGGGAGTAGATTTAATGGAACAAATGTAAAAGGAATACTCTTGACGACCACATGACATTGTTGGCAGAAACCAAAGATCTAAATAAATGCAAAGATGTCACATAATTATCATTTGGAAACTCTACATTATTAAAATGGCAATATTAACCAATTTACTTACATATTGAACACAATCTCAGGAGACTATTTTGTAGTCACTGGCACAGTTATCCTAAAACTTAGGGAACCAAAGGGACTCAGACTGGGAAAAAAGCAGTCAATTGAAGAAAAGTGAATTGAGGCTTTGTCAAAATTTAGCACAATGCCGTGCTATCAAGACAATGTGGCATTAACATAAGGGTTAGGATCACAGATCAAAGCAGTAGTGTAGTTTTCGACAGAGATGCTAAAACAATTCCATCAGGAAAAAACAACATTCCTCTGTAGCTGAAGAGCTTCTCTCCAGGTTCCACCAAACCCCGCAGTCCCACAATCCACGTATAAAATAATCACTCAGACGCTTATAATACTTATAAACTGTATGGCCGTGGCAGGCTTCTTGCTAACTGTTCTTATATCTTAAAATTAACCCATATTTATAAATCTGTACCTTGCCACATCGCTGGTGGCTTACCAGAGTCTTACATGCTGCTTGTCCTGGCAGTGGCTGCAATGTCTCCTCCCTCAGCCTTCTGCTTCCCAGAATTCTCCTCTCTCCTTGTCCCACCTACTTCCTGCCTGTCAACCTACTTCCTGCCTGGTCACTGGCCATCAGTGTTTTATTTATTGACCAATCAGAGTAATTTGACATACAGACCATCCCACAGCACTTCCCCTTTTCTTTTTTTTAAAAAGGAAGGTCTTAACTTTTACACATCTACAAAGCCAGCTTGGTATATTTGGGAATTTGGGCGTAGCTTCTCTTACTACTTCCTGCTGGATGGGGGCGCTGTATCTTATGGGGACACAAAGAAAATTTAAGGATCATGGAGTAGTCCATGAGGCTGTATCATCTGAGCCAGTTGCCTTGAAACAATTCTAGATGTTGGATCATCTGGGCCATGGTGTCATTGGAGACCTTTCAGGGGGTCTTGGCTGGTGAAACCTGATGTATCCTAATCTGGAACAAATCCATAGCCTCTGGCTTTCTGTAGAAACAAAAGCAGAACCTCCTTTCCAAAGCAACATATCCTTACAGCCAAATTTTGAAGTCAAGGTACCTTTAAAATACACATTTCGGCATAACTCAACAGCTTTTACAATCAAATGTTTTTCTTCAGTTACAAATATCAAAGAGAACATAATCCAGATTCTCTGTGTGGTAGCCATCTTTACGTGGCTTATGTTTTATATTACCTTGAGCCTATTGCTTTAAACCACAGCCTTTTAAGCCTGAAAGGGCGCTGTGGCTACTGGCTCTGCCCACTTCAGCTTCCCAACATGGCGGTAGTACGTTTTCCACCAGCTCTGGGAGCCATCCTGGGTCTATGCTTTTATCCAAGCAGCGTGTAGCCCAGAAACCTCTTTTTTTGTTTTGTACTAGCAAAGGCTAAATCCACCACACACCTTAATGTGCCACTTGCCGAGGCCTAATTCCCACCATACTGCAGGTCAAGCGCACACGCTAGGAACCTGCCAGTAGCTCAAACCGGCAGCTGCCGCTCATTTGAGAGAGACAATTAGGAAGCTGTTTTTAGCTCCATTTTAGAATCTTTTCTCAGTTTTAAGGTAGAAACTCTTGCCAACACGTTGGGCGCCATTTGTAGCTAGAGTTTTCCTGCCTTGCCCACAGTCAGGACAAATCTTTGTCATCCGCCAGTCCCACAGCCGCTCAGACCCAACCAAGTAAACACAGAGTCTTATATTGCTTACAAACTGTATGGCCGTGGCAGGCTTCTTGCTAACTGTTCTTATATCTTAAAATTAACCCATTTTTATAAATCTGTACCTTGCCACATCGCTGGTGGCTTACCAGAGTCTTTACATGCTGCTTGTCCTGGCGGTGGCTGCAATGTCTCCTCCCTCAGCCTTCTGCTTCCCAGAATTCTCCTCTCTCCTTGTCCCACCTACTTCCTGCCTGGCAACCTACTTCCTGCCTGGTCACTGGCCATCAGTGTTTTATTTATTGACCAATCAGAACAATTTGACATACATACCATCCCACAGCATTCCTCAATGTAAGGTGCTGGAGTGCACGCAAAACAATAACTGTAGCACTCTTGGGCCATGCCCACAGATGCCTGCTCTCTGATTGGCTGGCAGAAACAGAAGTTAAAACTCCAGTTGGGAGGGGGCCAGGAGAGAGAGAAGACCAATTGAAGGGTGATTAGTTTGAGCAGATGCTCAACTAGGATCATGAAAGAAGAGATAAAGGGAATTCCTGTGAGAGAGTGGCCTTGTGTTGCTACCCTCTGGTCCCTAAAGAGATTGGTGAGGGCTGTCGGATGTGCCTGTCCTTTGTGCCTGGGAAGACTCAGGTGGTGATTGCTACTAGTAAATCCTTTACCTACGATTTTGACCCCTTCACTGAACTGGAGGAGGTCTTCAACAGAGCAGTAGCACCACCCCGTGAAGGCATATTTAAAGGTCACAATGCCTCTGTCCTGGCTTATGGACAGACTGGCTCTGGAAAAAACTATTCTATGGGAGGTACATATAGTACAGACCAAGACAATGAACTAACCATCAGCATCATTCCTAGGGTAATACAGCTTCTTTTTAAAGAAATGGATGAAGAGAGAGAC